TTCAAGGTGGGCAGGCGCATGGGTGCAGTTGCAGATGTTAGAGAATGAATGGGTGGCGGTCGAAGAGATACATCCATAGCGTCGAAGAGGAAGGTGTGGATGCAAGGTAAGAGAAGAGCGGGGGCGGAATGAAAGAAAAGTGAGCCAAAAGGGGGATTTGAGTGGGTCGATGGTATCAAAGTCCTACGTGGCGGGTTGGCGGCAGTCCAGACTCTCGTAAAGCAACCCTCACTTTGCGTCCGGTTTGCAAAACTGATATGCGGACCGACTAGATGCGGCGTTGGATGGTAAATTACATGCGGCGTCCGCGTTGGAAATGCCCTAAATGCTTCCAAAATGCACAAACGGTGGACGCACGTAGGAAAATGTCTCACCATACGCCCTGTACAACAGGGTTAATTAGAATTAGAGGCTGCCTCCCAGAAGCAGAATAGTTAACGAATTAAACGGCAGCATTTGCGCCATGTGAGAGACGTGCGTGAAGGGTTGAAGGAATCTCCCTTTGTGGAGCCTGCCCACCAGGCGCATCACATACGCAGCCGGCCCGGGCGATGGACTCGACACAACGGTCAAACCGGTCTCTGCCCTGACCAGGACCCGCGCCCGCCCCCTGCTTTCTTTTCTTTTCGCCTCCCTCTGGGTCGAGTTCGACCGAACCACTTGCGCGCACCCCGTCGGCCAGCGCCGTGTCGGTGTCGGTCGGTTTCACATCGATCGCAGCCTCCTTCTTTCTTTCTTTTTGTTACCCCGGACTCCAAATTTGCGATCCTTCCGCGCAGCGCTTGTGTACGTGGCCAGGAATCCACGTACGCACGTGAGAGGGGTCCAAGTCGTACCACAAAGGGTGGTTGCCTGCATGGCGTACGTACCTGTACACGTCGCCGTCAGGGGGATGCTGTTAGATACGAGAAACGAACTGGTCACGGCCCCCACGCCTCCTCCGACCTCTCCTCTCCGTCCTGCGTGCATGATTGGTACGTACGCGGACGCGGTTAACCGGAGACAAGCCTCAAGGGGTAAACAAAGAGTGAGTGGGTGAGGTGAGAATGCATGCCAAGTGGTCAAACCATTCATTCATCCTCACATAATTGTAGTAGTATCATTTGACAGCAGCTGCTCTGGTCAGTCAGTCAGTCTCCGGAAGAGAGAAGAAAGAACTAGTTATTTACCAGGTGTGATGATCCAAGTCCATACGTTTTTAAGGTAAAAAAAATATGTAATCTGCTCCAGTTTCGAGGTGATTGGCGAGAGCGCATCCTCGTTCCACACTGTCTGGTGATGGTGAACAGCATGCGAACATGGCACAAAGCATGCAGGCGTCGCTGCGGGCTGCGCGCAGACAGCCTCATGCGCGCCATGTGAGCCTGCGACTGCGAGCGAGCGCAACGGCAGCAGCAGCAGCAGCTTCGGAGAAGATCCGTCCGTCGACCCGCCGGTGTCGCGTCGCCACGGGAGTTTACAAATCCGGCCGGCACGGCGCGACAGCGCTTCGCCTTGCCGGAGGCCTGGCGGCACCGCGAGGAACACACCTGCATGATCCCTGGGGAATATATGATCTCTGCCATGCAGAATCGATCCGATCCGCATCCGGTGCTCAGCTCCCAAGCAGGCACTCTAATGCAAGTCCACTCATCAGTGAAACAACCCATCGGAATTAGACAATTAGTACTGTGTCTCCTCCACTGGGGGTACGTTTGACGGCCGGCAGAGGCAGCCCTGCCCATGCATACATGCTTCGGACGGACGAGACGGCGCGGCGGCGAGGCGACCGGGCTGTAAAAACAAACATTTGCGCCACTACGACATGTCTCCGTCCAGAATGTGCACGCAAAAGCACCAGGCGAACGGAGCAGTCGGTCTTCCTACGGGTTCTACTACTACTGCCCAGCAGTGGCCGAGATTGGTTGACCGCGCCACTCACGTCCCCCGCTGCTGCTGCTGCGGCTGCGTCGGCGTCGCCCGCCACCCAGCCGGCCCGCCCGCGCCCTTTAAATCTCCCCCTCCCTCCCACTCCTTCCTCCATCCATCCCCACGCTCCCCTCTCTCTCCGCCGCTCCTGTTGCACCCTCCAACAAGCCAAGAACGAACTCGCTCGCCGGTAATTATAGGTTGGTTGTTCTCCCTTGCAAGTTACTCCCGCCGGCGCCGGCTTGCCGTCCACCAACCTGCCCAACTGCGTGGACACTTGGGGCGAGCGAGCTAACCGGGGTTGGCCGCGCAGCTTTCCTGAGGTATATATAAAGTTAGCTAGTCCGGGGAGGCAGCCATGGTGAGGGTGTCGGTGGTGTGCTGCCTCAAGCTGCTGCTGCTGCTCGCCCTCGGCGGGGTCACCATGCACGTGCCGGACGCGGGCGTGCTCGCGCCGCTCGGCCCGCTGCGCCTCGACGGACACCTCAGCTTCCACGACGTGGCCGCCGCGGCCCGCGACTTCGGCAACCGCTGCAGCCTGATGCCGGCCGCCGTGCTCCACCCGGGCTCCGTGGCCGACGTCGCCGCCGCAGTGCGCCGCGTGTTCCAGCTGGGCGAGCGCTCGCCGCTCACGGTCGCCGCGCGAGGACACGGGCACTCGCTGCTCGGCCAGTCGCAGACCGCCGGCGGGATCGTCGTCAGGATGGAGTCCCTCGGGAGCGGCGCCATGATGCGGGTGCACGCCGGCGCCGACGCGCCTGCCTACGTGGACGCCCCCGGAGGCGCGCTCTGGATCAACGTGCTGCATGAGACGCTCAAGCACGGGCTGGCGCCCAAGTCGTGGACCGACTACCTCCATTTGACGGTGGGCGGCACCTTGTCGAATGCCGGGGTCAGCGGCCAGGCGTTCCGGCAAGGACCGCAGGTCAGCAATGTCAACCAGCTGGAGATTGTGACAGGTCTCATACAAACCCAGCCACACAAAATTAATTAAGCACCACGCATCATCATTAACTATAGCTAGCAACAAAATTAACAAGTAACCGCAGCAGTACCTGATGTATCGTCCCATAAACACCAAATGCAGGGAGAGGGGATGTGGTCACCTGCTCGCCGGACGAGAACTCCGACCTCTTCTACGGCGCTCTCGGCGGCCTGGGCCAGTTCGGCATCATCACCAGAGCCAGGATCGCCCTCCAACCTGCACCAAAGATGGTACGTGAATACACATGATCACACAAGCAAATCAATCATTTGTCACAACCAAATGCAGTCGCAGACCGACATGGATCGCTCATTTCATTCAGTTGTACTGATCTCTTGGATTGGATACGATGACAGGTGAGGTGGATCCGGGTGCTCTACTCGGACTTCGCGAGCTTCACCGAGGACCAGGAGGCGCTGATCTCGGCGGACGAGACCTTCGACTACATCGAGGGGTTCGTGATCATCAACCGGACGGGCATCCTCAACAACTGGAGGACGTCGTTCAAGCCGCAGGACCCGGTGCAGGCCAGCCACTTCCAGTCGGACGGGAAGGTGCTCTACTGCCTTGAGATGACCAAGAACTTCGACCCTGAAGAGGCTGACATCATGGAACAGGTGAGTTGATTAATCATTTTCTCGCCCCTTATATATACAATACAAATGCAGATGTTGACGCATTTGGCCCGCCCAGGTTGTGTGTGGTTTCGATTAATCTAATCTAATCTTGTTCTTGTTCTTTGTCTTTGCAGGAGGTTGGTGTGCTGCTGTCTCGGCTGAGATACATACAGTCAACCCTCTTCCACACCCATGTCACGTACCTCGAGTTCCTGGACAGGGTGCACTCCTCCGAGCTCAAGCTCAGGGCCCAGGGCCTCTGGGAGGTTCCACACCCATGGCTCAACCTCCTCATCCCGAGAAGCACCATCCACCGGTTCGCGACGGAGGTCTTCGGCAACATCCTCAAAGACAGCAACAATGGCCCCATCCTCCTCTACCCAGTGAACAGATCAAAGTAAGCAAAGCAGTTCCATCATCATCAGAAACCTAAAAATTTTACCATCTCTGTCCTCTGGTTGTACGTAGGTTTGATGGTAACTGATTAAATTGACACATTGTGGGGTGCAGGTGGGACAACAGGACGTCAGTGGTGATACCGGAGGAAGAAATCTTCTACCTGGTGGGGTTCCTGTCGTCGGCACCGTCGGCGTCAGGCCACGGCAGCGTCGACCACGCGGTGAGCCTCAACGACAAGATCCTAGACTTCTGCGACAAGGCCGGCGTCGGGATGAAGCAGTACCTAGCGCCCTACACCACGCAGCAGCAGTGGAAAGCCCACTTCGGGGCGAGGTGGGAGACATTTGAGCGGAGGAAACACATGTATGATCCCCTAGCAATCCTAGCCCCAGGACAGAGAATATTTGCAAAGGCGTCGCTGCCCATGTCCTCTTGACAAACAGCATCCGCCATGTAAAGGCCTTTCTAAAGCATATGGTGTACATAAATGTAGGAAATGTCCCCTGTAAAGACAAGATCTGCCGAAAAAGGCGGCCTGAAGAACACGCAGCATAGCAACTAGTAGTAGTGGGACGGAGGTACCTCAACGAACACTTCAGAGTAGAGCAGCCTGACCTTTAGCTCTGGGTGTAGAGGGTGTGACTTTGGAGGCAATCATGCGTTCCAGGATTATACTGGTTCGAGTAACGACACAAGCCCACCAGCTGTTGTTCGTTACAGCGTAGAGCAGAGTTGTGTAATAGCTAGCTAACCAGTGGAACTCATGTAGAATTGTTTGTGTTCATTCAGTCAATAATGGCAGAGAGTGACTTCAGGGTAGAACCTTCAGTATCAAATGATATTGTCTCATTGTCTGTTAAGCACTTGTCTCATCTCAGAATTACCTGCACAAGTTTTTTTAACCAGGCTCTGTTAATCTTTATGAATCAAAATGATATGCTCTGAACTATGTGTGCAACAGTAAAGTTTCTTGTCGTTTAATCAAGCACACTTGTTACAAATAGTGAAGCTTTTGGAAGGAAATTCTCTTGACATGTGCATCCAACACTAACAGTTCATAGTCCGTGGGGTAAAATAGTGGTTCAACTTCTGCAGGTTATACGAATAATTGGTACCAAAAGAATGGGCAGGAATAAAAGTGTAAAGTTTTGCTGAGGAGGGAACAGAGAAAGAAATGCCCCAAAAGCTGGGCACACAGCGACGGATGCAATACACTCCTGCATTTTATACCAACGAATTGTGATCTACTATTGTCCCTAATTATCTTCATAGGTAACAAAGGAGAAACAGACCAAGACAAAAGTTCCAATTTATGAAGAAACAAAAAAACTTGCTCCACACCTTGATGGCTACTTGCAGTCTTTTCCACACCTTTTATCTGATAATGTGTATACAGTCTGCTTAATAGAAGTCCTGGTAGTGGCAACTAAGTTGCTGCATATGAAAAGCTGCGGTGTCAGTTGGCGAGCAATATCATCTAAACAAGTGGAAATAACAGCTGTGATATAGCACATCAGACTGGAAAAAATGAAAGATCCTACGAGGCTTCAGAGAACAAGGTCCGGCAGGGCAGCTATTGAGAGTGAAATCATGCCGGCGATGTGTTGTAACACATCTCAGCTAAACATTTGTGATGGGTTTCAGTCAGCCTGACAAGAACTGGATAACGTGGGAGGGCAATGAAAAAACTCGTGCTGATCTAGTCCACAAAGACAGACAAAGAAACGGGCATGATTGATGCCCATATGTTATGTTACACAAAAAACCTGTCTAAATCTACCTGTACCATTTTGGACTGAACCAGCAGAAAGCACTATGTTAGCTGCCACCAGAAGCGTCACCTATCAACGACTATCATACACCACATGTGGATTTCAGCAACATGAACATCACTGTTACGCTCGTCTAATGGACATGACTCCAGACCATAGTAGAAGCATGGGCTCAAAGTATTACAGACTGAAACTAGTCCTTTGATCTGACAATACACAACCATTCAATACTAGCTTATCCATCGATCACTGGTTACGGACTGCAAAGAAACAAACACATAAATGCAATGTATGTAGTACCATTTAACTGAACACAAACAATTCTACATGAGTTCTGAGCATAACAGACTGAAACTAATTCTACACGAGTCCTGAGTATAACAAACTGAAACTAGTCACTTGATCTGACAATACACAAGCATTCAATTCCAGCCCATCCATCGACGACTGGTCACGGACTGCGACACAAACACTTGCAAGTGCAATGTACCAGTTGAAACAACAGTCGGTGAAATGTCATTCATGGCCAGGGTGATTGAACACTAGGAGAGGAAAACGATGACGGGTCTAAGTGGCCTGAAACTAGCGGTGATTAATTGACCTCACTTCCACAGCTAGACAGTCCGTAATCAAAGCCCACTACCCTGTAAGATCAATCATTCATTCAAAGTTGAAGGATCAACACAGAAACTGACAGCAATGGCGGCGAGCCACACGACAGCCGAATCAGCGATGCGATCGCCCCCAAACCCACCACCACCAGCGCTGGTGGTGGGTCGGTCGTCAGGTAAAAATTGCGGAGCTGACGGGGCAGCAACAGGGAGGATCAAAGCTCGACAGAAACAGAATTCACCGCCGCGACTGCACGGCCCGACCGTCCCAGAGGGAAAATCCGCCGGATCCTTGTCCGTCCCAGAAACGAATTCCGCGCGACGGGTGCTGGGCCGGAATCAATAATCCCTAGACGGAACGCGAACGGTAAGAGGGGCCTGAATCGGGGGGCGCGGGACAGGAGAGCTCACGGTGCGTTCGATCGACGGCGCGCCGGCGCCGAGGAGGAAGGGAGGGAGGGCGGGGCGGGCGTGCCGCGTCGCGCGGGGAGGGGGAGGCGAAGGCGAGCGAGAGAGAGAGAGAGAAAGAGAGGCGGCAATGGCGGACGCACGTGCGGGGCTGTGGATGGGCCTCGCGCATTTCGCGGTGTGTGGTTCACGCGCGCGCACGTTAGTAAGTGGTGCTACTGGGTAGTGGTAGGCTGGGCCGCTTTTTCTAGCGCTTGGAGATTAGCAGGCTTCGGCTCTTGTTCGTTCATTGAAAATCGCACTTGCCCTTAAATTCTTTTTAAAAAAACTCGCTCGCCTTCATCGAACAAATCACCGAAATCACTAACTAACTAAAGGTTACCCCTTGTGAAAGTTATCTTATCTTATCTTATCTTTTTGGAGATGTGTGTCACTTGTCGCAATCTAGTTGTTTTTCTATTCAATGTTTTTTCTTTTAAACCGTGCATTCAAATCCTGAACCGTCTTCACCGTTAGATTTCTTGCATCGAAATCTTCAAACCAAGATCCCATGTTTAAGCGGTTTTGACGAATTTTTACTATGAAAAACAGGAAAAAAGAACGAAAATGGATACCGAAAAAGGGAAACAAAGAAATGGTTCACGCAAAAAGAAAAAGAAAAGCCAGATCCTGGAAGCACAGCTACGGGTTTTCCCTTTTTTGGAACATAGGCTGTGTTTCTCATTTTTTTTCGGAGAAGCAGAGTTGTGGTTCTCGCGGAAGCAAAACTATGCTTCCAGCAGAAGCAAATATGTGCTTCTCATGAAAGCACAATTTTAATTACAAAAAAATATTCCCACATTTTTTCCAAAACATGGCGAAAACATGAAAGCCAAAAAAACCATATAGAACCCCAAAACGTTTATGAAAAACTAAAAAAGAAAGAAATTCAGAGGGGGTGCCCAGACAAATGGCGACAGCTGGACATATCAGTAGGCGCCGTGCTTTCAGACCACCAAAAATGACCTCTAAAGGTGGAGGTTCCCCTAATTAGTTGTTCTCGCAAATCACACGCAGCATAGGGCTCGCTAAACCAGCCGGAAACAGGCCCGGCCTTATAAGACGAATACTTCAGGATGGCCCGCTTCTTCTAGCGCATCAAGCAATGGTTTCGAGAAGGTCTAGGCTGAGGCCTGTTTTCAGAACTTTCCATTTCTTTTTTCACTACTTTTTTTGGATTTCTTTACAATTTTTTGTTTTTCCACCTGTCTTCTTTTTTTCAATTCAAATTCACGCATAAAATTCAAAATTTTGAACACATTTTCAATTTTATGGATATTTTTTATATTTGTGCACATTATTTGATTCATGATATTTTCTTAATTTCATGCACATTATTTGAATTCATGAATATGTTTGAATTTGTTGAATAGGTTTGAATTCGTGATTTTTTTTGAATTCATGATTTTTCTCGATTTAATGGATATGTTTCAAATTCATGAATATTTTTTGAATCTATGAACTTTTTAAAATTCACGAATATTTTCGTATTTGTGAAAAAACGTTTATACATTTCTAAGTCCATGAACTGTATTAGAATCAATAAAAAACGAATGCATAGACATTTTTTGAATCCGAAAACATTTTTTAATTTGTGAATATTTTTTGCATTCAATAACTTTTTAAAAGCAATTGTGAACTCTTTTAAAAAAATTGATGTTTGAAAATTCATGAAATTTTCATAAAGTACTTTGACTATAGAAAAATGCTAACGAAAACGCCACTGAAACCAACGTTGAAAAAACGTCAAAAGGTGAACGGACAAACATTACACGAACCGAGCGATCCGACAAAAAGAAAAGAGTGGGTGGTCTAGCAGTGACCGGCTCATAATGCACGAGAGCTATATCTTGCTTGGGGCGAAATGGGAGTTGGGAGTTGCTCTCAGCGGAACGACAGCTCTCTCGCTTAGTAACTGGGCTGGCCAGTTTCTTTTTTTTTTCTTGCTGGCTTGCAAGAGCGATCACTTCGCTGGGCGTCTCCTATTTTGCGCGTTTGTTGCACGCTAGCGACATAGCGCGTATCCCCTCCAACATCCGATCGTCTTTTGGGCCGTCCATTTCTGATTTCTTCCCTCCCTTGTAGTTTTTCCTTTTTTTTGCTCCAGTTTTTCCGTTTGCCCTTTGTTTTATTTTCATTTTTTAATTTGAATTTTCTTTTCTATTTCTTCCGTTTTATCTTTCTATTTTTTTTCTTTCATTTTTCACGGACACCTTTCAAAATTGTGGACATTTTTTGAAATCATCAATAATTTTCCAACTTGTGAACATGTTTTGAAATTCGAAAAAATTCAAATTCGTGATGATTTTTTACAAATTTACGAACGATTTTTTAAAATGATGAACATCATTCAAGATCATTTTTTACAAATAAGTAATTTTTTTGTGAAATGATGAAGATTCTTTGAAAACTCGGGGGATGATATTTGAAATTCCCAATGTTTTTTTATTTTAATGAACATTTTTCAAATGCATGGAATTGTTTTAAATTCACGAACATTTGATGGTTGGTAATATTTCAATAAACATAATACAAACATGGACCTTCATAACACACACATAAACACCGCTATGAACGAGTGCATGCACAACTTATCCGTATGAGCA